CTCCAGCCCGGGCGACAGACGCGAGGACACTCTATTCAAAAACAAAAAAAAAAAAAACAAGGATAGCTCAGGATCATAACCATTTAACAAAGGAGATTACCGTGATAAACAAAGACTGCATGGGGCCAATGTGATACAAATAAAGGCTGATCTCAAACTCCTGACCTCAGGTGATCAACCCACCTCGGCCTCCCAAAGTGCTGGGATTACAGGCATGAGCCACCATGCCCGGCCTCCACGTCATTTTTTGAGCACTGGACTCTGCTTTGATGCTCACCCGAGTCCCACAGCTGCCTAGTTCACATGGTGCACCCTCCCTGTCCCCACCCTACGGTTTGTGTTGGAATCTCTGGCTGGGAGGGATGGGCTGCTGTGGCTAGGAGAGACCTAATAGGTGTAGGCTCTGGCACCTGGATCTGAAGGCCTTGCATTTCAGTAGGTACGGGAAGGGACCAGGCCGGGGGGTTAGTGGATACTGATAAGCAGCAACCACAGTGCACAACTGCTGCAGAGGCCCTCAGACTCTGGGCCACACTTCCCAAAGAAGCAGGCATAATGTGGGGAGAGGTCATTCTGCTCTGAGCTGCTCCGTGCTCATGGTTGCAAAATGGACCTCTGAGGGATGCAGGCCGACAGGGTGTGAGGGACAAAGCAGGTGTGGAGCCAGAGCTGACATGTACGGTTAAGCAGGTTGTACACTGAGCAAAGTTGGCTATAGTCACATTGTACATAGAGATTTATATATTTATTTTTCTAGCAGATGATGATAAAGTTCTTAAAAATATACTTTGAAAATTTTTTGTTAGTTTTAAAGAAGGGGTGCTTTAAAAATAACTTCTCGGCCGGGCGCGGTGGCTCAAGCCTGTAATCCCAGCTACTCCTGAGGCTGAGGCAGGAGAATGGCGTGAACCCGGGAGGCGGAGCTTGCAGTGAGCTGAGATCTGGCCACTGTACTCCAGCCTGGGTACAGAGCCAGACTCCGTCTCAAAAAAACAAAAAACAAAAAACTTCTCACAAAACTATAGGAGACTGAGCAGGAGGGTGTATGTCAGGGGACTTGGGGTATGGGCTTCTATCCAGTGGCACCCTGCCCTCCCCATGCCCCGTAGCGGTGGTGACGCTGATTGAAGACGGGAAGAACAACTCCCTGCCGTCTGAGTCCACCTCGCACAGGTGGCGGGGGCCTGGCTGCAGGCCCCCCGATAGCTCCTACAACAGCCTGTACTCCACCTGCCTGGAGCTGTTCAAGTTCACCATCGGCATGGGGGACCTGGAGTTCACCGAGAACTACGACTTCAAGGCTGTCTTCATCATCCTGCTGCTGGCCTATGTGATTCTCACCTACATCCTCCTGCTCAACATGCTCATCGCCCTCATGGGCGAGACTGTCAACAAGATCGCACAGGAGAGCAAGAACATCTGGAAGCTGCAGGTGGGTGGGTGGGGGTGGTGAGCGGCCAGGAGGGTGTGGGCTGCTCTCTCCGCTGTCTTACACAGCTGGCTGCAGGTGGGTGGGTGGGTGGGGGTGGTGAGAGGCCAGGAGGGTGTGGGCCTCTCTGTCCCCTGCTTTACCCCACTGGGCACATGAGCCCTGCAGGATTTGAGGAGGGGACAGAAAGTCCGGCCAGGCCCAGGGATCCAGCCTCAGCACCTCCCTCAGTGGGCTTCCAGCAAGTTCCCCCGGCCAGCACTTGCTCAGGGGCAGATGAGTTTAGCTGGTGTTTATAGACACCATGCTTGGCTGTGGTCTGGGTGGTCCTGGAGGGAAGAAGGGGGAGGGCTCAGCCCCACAGGGTGTCCACCTCAGAGGAGCCTGGCGTAAGGTGGGCACCAGAGGCCAGACTCAGGGGAGCAGCTACCATGAGGCAGGGCCCTGACAGCTACATTTCTGAGCCCTGTGGGCCACACCTGCATCCCTAACTACTAATAATAAGTTTCTTTCTTATGAAGAAGCACTTTCTCTATGATAGGGACTATAGGACTGTACTAACTGTCTGTCTTACCTGATCTCATTTAATCCTCACAACAGTCCTGTGAAGTGGATTCTATTACTGTTCCTTTTTTTTTTTTTTTTTTCGGAAATGGGGTTTCGCTCTTGTTGCCTAGGCTGGAGTGCACTGGCACGATCTTGGCTCACTGCAACCTCTGCCTCCCGGGTTCAAGCGATTCTCCTGCCTCAGCCTCCCTAGTAATTGGGATTGCAGGCGCCCACCACCACACCCAGCTAATTTTTGTATTTTTAGTCAAGATGGGGTTTCACTGTGTTGGCCAGGCTGGTTTCGAACTCCTGACCTCAGGTGATCCGCCTGCTTTGGCCTCCCAGAGTGCTGAGATTACAGGCGTGAGCCACCGTGCCTGGCTATACTGTTCAATTTTTGAATGAAGACGCTGAGGCACAGTGAAGTTAGGTATCTGTACTCAAGGCCACATGGCTAGTAAGTGGCAGAGCCAGGACCTGGCCCAGGCAGTCTCACTCCGAGGCCCTGCTCTCAGCCCCTACCCAGTGTTGCCCCTTGTGAGCTCCTCAGGGCAGGGTCTGGGATACTCCGTACCACCCCTGGGGCTGCCCTGCCCAGGCCCGGCAGGCACCAGTGGCACCTGCACAGGTCTGGGCTGGCCGGGCTGTGCCCCTTGCGTAGATCGCCCGCCAGGCTTCAGAAACCAAGCTAGCATAGAGGGCGCTGGACAGCCAGCCCGGAGGCATATGGGCCTGGGAGAGCCCCTGGGGAGGTGGATACTGGCAGCCAGGGAGGCCCTGGGATGCACCCTCTGCCCCTCAGCTCCTCTGCCCTTGGTGTCTTCCTGCAGAGAGCCATCACCATCCTGGACACGGAGAAGAGCTTCCTCAAGTGCATGAGGAAGGCCTTCCGCTCAGGCAAGCTGCTGCAGGTGGGATACACACCTGACGGCAAGGACGACTACAGGTGGTGCTTCAGGTAACGCCCAGGCTCCACCTGAATCAGAGCTTGGGAGCCTCGGGGCTCCCCTGTGGACACAGAGCCTACCTCAGGGCCTCCTGGGGCTGGTCATGAGCACAGGGGGCTCTCCCCACACCAGCTGTGGGCATTGGGGCTGTCCTGAGCTCCGTCGTGGGCGTGCACGGGGGACCCATCTTCGATCTCGGCTGGTGGCGCCCAGACACTAAATTCTGGAAAATTCGAGGTGTCCAGAAGGGGTCTTCTAGTGAGCAGGGTCAGAGCCTGGCATCCAATGTGTAAAGTCCCTGGGCCTCACAGTGTGGTCGGAGATCACATCTTTGGGGATGGTGTCCAAAAATCAAGTCCTCTCTGCCCTCCCGACCCGCCGTGTCTCCATCCTGATGGGTGGGTTTCTTGGGCTTGGCCTGTGGGCAGAGCCCTCGGCCTGGGAAGCTGGGCACAGCTCTCAGGCTGCCTTGACCCCTTACCCTGCAGGGTGGACGAGGTGAACTGGACCACCTGGAACACCAACGTGGGCATCATCAATGAAGACCCGGGCAACTGTGAGGGCGTCAAGCGCACCCTGAGCTTCTCCCTGCGGTCAAGCAGAGGTGAGGCGTGAGGGACCGGTGCTTGGCGCCTCCTTGGTTGGTGGCCTGACATTGGGCAGGGGGAGCTTTGCAGGTTCCCCACGCCTTGCCCGGCTCCTCTTCGCCCCAGGACCCGGGCACTGTAGCAGCTCCTGACGTCAGCCATGTGCGCGTAGTCACGGGCTGACTTGAGTGCCTCACGCATGCTGTCACCACTGACAACTCACTGGGCCTGTGCAAGCGGCTGTGCCAGCATCTCCAGCCCAGGCACCTGTCCTCAGCGCCCCAGGGGATGCAGCCCAGCCCCACCCCGCCTCCTTGTGTGGGCTGCCCTGCCTCCTCGGCCCTGTTCCTCACTCTGCACGTGTGCATGCGACGTCATAGCTCTGTGAGGCTGTGCGGACACACACAGGCAGACGGGAACACTTGTCACTCATGGACACAGCTGGGCAGGTGGAGAAGAGGGGAGGGTGAGAAGAGGAAAGGGATGCCTTGAGCAGAAAAACTCCAAGGAGGTCGGGCACAGCGGCTCACGCCTGTCATCCCAGCACTTTGGGAGGCCAAGGCAGGCAGATTGCCTGAGGTCAGGAGTTCGAGACTAGCCTGGCTAACATTGTGAAACCCCATCTCTACCAAAAAAATACAAAAATTAGCCAGTCATGGTGGTGGGCACCTGTAATCCCAGCTACTCAGGAGGCTGAAGCAGGAGAATTGGTTGAACCTGGGAGGTGGAGGTTGTGGTGAGCTGAGATCGCACCACTCTACTCCAACCTGGGCGACAGAGTGAGACTCTGTCTCAAAAAAAGAAAAAATAGAAAAACCCCAAGGAAAATTACCAGAAAGGAAGCTGTTTAACAGTTACTGGTAAACATTTAATAGAAAACATTAAATAAATGTCTAATTGAGGACACTTAAAAATGAAGCAGGCACAGTTTATAGTGGACAAATTTTGAGTTATAATTACAACCCTGAACACTTTGTTTTTGAATTACTTTGTATTTAATTCTAAAAAAACTGTGGTAAAATATTTATCTCCTAAAACTTGCCATTTAAATCATTTTTAAGTGTACAATTTAGTGTCATTAAGTACATTTACATTATTGTACAACTATCACCACTATCTATTTCCAGAATTTTTTTTTTTTTTTTTTTTTTTGAGACGGAGTGTCACTCTGTCACCCAGGCTGAAGTGCAGTGGCACAATCTTGGCTCACTGCAAGCTCCACTCCCGGATTCAAGCGATTCTCCTGTCTCAGCCTCCCGAGTAGCTGCGATTACAGGTGCGTGCCACCACACCTGGCTAATTTTTGTATTTTTATAGTAGAAACAAGGTTTCATCATGTTGGCCAGGCTAGTCTCCCAACCTCAGGTGATCTATCTGCCTTGGCCTCCCAAAGTGCTGGGATGACAGGCGTGAGCCACCGTGCCCGGCCTTTTTCCAGAACATTTTAATCATCCCAAATGGAAACTCTGTGCCTGTGTAATAACTCTATGTCCCCTCCTCCCTGACCCCTTGTCCCCTGGCCCCTAACCTCTTGGCCCCTATTCTGTTTTCTATCTTTATGAAAATGAGACAGAGACGTTCAAGGTTGAGTGGTACTGGGGGTCTCAGAGGCCCAGAGACCGTCTTAACACCCTTTAAATCCTCTGAGCCACTCTCTAATCATCCTCATGAACTAGCACAGCTCAGCTCTTAGCAAGGACTTGTGGGGGACTCACCTGCCCCAAAGACTTCTGGGCTTCCACCCCCATAAATCTTTCCTCCTCTTCTCCAGGGCTCGTATCCACAGATTCCCGCTGCTTCAGTTGCCCAGCTCTTGATTCCTTCCTCTTTCACTCAAAGGCAATTCCATGCTCTGCTTAGACTGCAGCTCACTGCGTTGTAGTTGGGGAAATGGTTCCCAGGCAGAAAGTTAGGGAGATCATAGGGCTCCCCTTGTGATTTTCACTTCTCTTAGGAATTGCAGTTATTTATTTATTTATTTATTTATTTATGAGATGGTGTCTTGGCACGATCTGGTGTTCAGTGGCACGATCTTGGCTCACTGCAACCTCCGCCTTCTGGGTTCCAGTGATCCTCCCACCTCAGCCTCCCGAGTAGCTGGGATTGAAGTTGCCCGCCACCACACCAGGCTAATTTTTATATTTTTAGTAGAGACAGAGTTTCACCATGTTGGTCAGGCTGGTCTCGAACTCCTGACCTTAGGTGATCCACCCACCTTGGTCTCCCAAAGTGCTGGGATGACAGGCGTGAGCCACCGTGCCTGGCCTTTTTTTGATTTTTAGTTTTTAAAAATCTTTAGCCGCTAAGTGGGTGTTACTTGAAGGACTGCCGTTTTTCACTCTGCCTGATGTCCTATCCCTGAAAAACACGTGCTGTGTGTATGTTGCCTAGTTTTGTGATCATTGGCAGCAGGACGGCTAGCCCAGTACCAGATACTGTATTATAGCTGGAAGTGAAAATCTATTTTATCAAAGGCTCATTTTTAGAAAACTGCTCGAGGGCGCCATCGGTTTTTCCACAGGCCCCCTGCGATCATGTGATTTTCCTATGAGTTGAGTTAGAAGCAATCCCTGCATCCCATAATAATGCTTATTGATGATCTCTTTGTCAATTGTTAACTGGTCTGTCTTTGCCAGAGAGCTATTCAAAGATAGCTTTGCGTGTGATTTGAGTAGTTTTTCAATGTCACTCTTGTTGATTTAGTGACATCCCACATCTTTGACGAGATTTGCTGTTTCACTTGGCAGTTGATTCGTATTACGTTTGCACGGCATTGTTGGCGGTTTACAACACTGCATGTCCACTGTGATATTTAGAAAGGCTTTGACCCAGGGGCAGGGATATACACATCCATGTTAATTGGGGCAGGGATGGGGGATGGTTGGAGGTTGCCTGATTGCACCTTTATAATTTTTTTTCTTTTTTTTTTTTTGAGACGGAGTCTCGTTCTGTCGCCCAGGCTGGAGTGCAGTGGGCCTGGACCCCAAATCCTGCCTCTTTGGCGGGTGCTCGTCACCCAGAGCTGCCCTGGTGTTGAGGCACTCACGGGACAGGCCTCGGCGTTGCTCTGTGGAGACCTCCTCTCCCTCCCACTTGGGCAGGGAGGAGATGGAGGCCGAGAGGGGCAGGCGATAGGCTCTCCTGAGGCTGCAAGCAAGTCGGGGTGGGATGGAGGAAGAGAATTTGAGGAACAACCAGAGTGCATGAGGCTCTTTGAGCAGTTGAGGGAGGACATTGCACCAATCCAGGTGCCTCAGGAAGCACTCGCATGCCTGGGCCTCCTTTTTTTTTTTTTTTTTTGGACGGAGTCTCCCTCTGTTGCCTAGGCTGGAGTGCAGTGGTGCAATCTCAGCTCACTGCAACCTCGGCCTCCCGGGTTCAAGCGATCCTCCTGTCTCAGCCTCCCAAGTACTGGGATTACAGGCATGCGCCACCACGCCCGGCTATTTTTTGTATTTTTAGTAGAGATAGGATTTCACCATGTTGGTCAGGATGGTCTCAAACTCCTGACCTCAGGTGATCCACCCGTCTTCGTCTCCCAACGTGCTGGGATTATAGGCGTGAGCCACCGCGCCTAGCCTGGGCCTCCTTTTATCTGGAGACTTGGGGGAGGCCAAGAAGGGATGTTTGTTTTGCTGCATCCGAGGTAGTAATAGTGTTTTACCCTTCAGTTTCAGCCAGACACTGGAAGAACTTTGCCCTGGTCCCCCTTTTAAGAGAGGCAAGTGCTCGAGATAGGCCCTCTGCTCAGCCCGAGGAAGTGCACCTGCGACAGTTTTCAGGGTCCCTGAAGCCAGAAGACGCTGAGGTCTTCAGGAGTCCTCCCGCTTCCGGAGAGAAGTGAGGACCTCACACAGACAGCACTGTTCACGCTGGGCCTTAGGAGACCCCGCCGCCACGGGGGGCTGCCGAGGGAACACCAGGGCTCTGTCAGCAGCCTGGCCTGGTCTGTGCCTGCCCAGCATGTTCCCAGATCTGCACCGGACAAGCTGTGGGAAGCGTTGGAAGCATGGGGAGTGATGTGCATCCAACTGTCCCTGTCCCAAGTGAATCTCCTAACAGGCTTTCGAGGTTTTACTCACTTTCCTAAACAGTGTGGACGGTCAGTCTCTACTGGGACATGTTATGCCCTTGTTTTCTTTGATTTTATTTTATTTTTTGAGACAGAGTTTCACTCTTCTTGCCCAGGCTGGAGCGCAGAGGCACAATCTTGGCTCACTGCAACCTCCGCCTCCTGGATTCCAGTGATTCTTCTGCCTCAGCCTCCCGAGTAGCTGGGATTACAGGTCCGCACCACCATACCTGGCTAATTTTTTGTATTTTTTTAAGTAGAGACGGGGTTTCGCCATGTTGGCCAGGCTGGACTCGAACTCCTGACCTCAGGTGATCCGCCCAGCTTGTCCTCCCAAAGTGCTGGGACTACAGGTGTGGGCCACCATGCCCAGCCATTTTTTGTTTTTGTTTTTGTTTTTTTTTTGAGACAGAGTCTCACTCTTGTTGCCCAGGCTGGAGTGCAGTGGTGTGATCTTGGCTCACTGCAACCTCTGCCTGCCGGGTTCAAGTAATTCTCCTGCCTTAGCCTCCTGAGTAGCTGGAATTACAGGTGAGCACCACCACGCCCAGTTAATTTTTGTATTTTTAGTAGAGACGGGGTTTTACCATGTTGTCCAGGCTGGTCTCGAACTCCTGACCTCAGGTGATCTGCCAGCCTTGGCCTCCCAAAGTGCTGGGATTACAGGCGTGAGCCGCTGCGCCCGGCCTCCTTGGATTTTACATTACTAGAAGCAAAAGTAAACGAAGTCCAGGAAAACACCTTTGGGAACAAAAACCTTCCTTTGATGGAAAACGCAGCAGCCCTTCCTCTCTGTATTGTGCTCGCTCTCCACGCTCACCTGCCCGGGTGGTTTGGGGGTGTTGGTCTTTACTCCCCGGAGAAGGTGGGGGAGGCCGTCCCACTCCCAGTTCCGGCAGATTCAAGCTGTTGCAGGAGTGCCTTCTTCATCTTTCCTTACGATCAATCACAGTCTCCAGAATATCAGCTCGATTGCTGTTCAGGTTAAAAGTACAGAACCACATCCCAAAGGTACTTGGTAAGAGTGTTGGAAAGATCTTCCATTTGTAGGGACCCCAATCCTGCCTCCCCGCAATGGCACATGCTTCCACACCATCCATAGTGGCATCCTCAAATAAATACATATGTATACGTATATATCGTGTCAAGTGTACAGTTTGTGCCAGGTAATGGGATGGCATAGCTAACTGGCTCTGTGTAGGCTGCTTATGGAAGCATGTGTGCACACATGGGGGTGTGTGTGTAAGTGTGTGCATGCATGCATGTTTGTATCTCTGTGTGTGTGTGTGTCTGTGTGTATGTGTGTGTGTCTGTGTGTATGTGTGTGTGTCTGTGTGTGTCTGTGTATGTGTGTATGTGTATGTGTGTGTGTGTATGTGTATGGTATGTGTGTATGGTGTATATGTGTGTATGGTGTGTGTGTGTATATGTGTGTGTGTGTGTGTGTGTATGTGTATGGTATGTGTGTATGGTGTGTGTGTGTATATGTGTGTGTGTGCGTATGTGTGTGTGTGTGTGCATTCCTATGGTTGCGTTCCTGCTATAATGCAGAAATGAATAGTTGCGACAGAGACCAAATAGTTTGCAAAGCCTAAAATGTAAAAAACTTACCTAAAATATAAAAAACGTACTATCTGCCCCTTTACATGGTTTGCTGACTCTTCGTTTACACCATAGAGCTTAAGAAACAGATACTCTGGGCCGGGCGCGGTGGCTCAAACCTGTAATCCCAGCACTTTGGGAGGCCGAGACGGGCGGATCACGAGGTCAGGAGATCGAGACCATACTGGCCAACATGGTGAAACCCCATCTCTACTAAAAATACAAAAACTAGCCAGGCGAGGTGGCGGCGCCTGTAGTCCCAGCTACTCAGGAGGCTGAGGCAGGAGAATGGCGTGAACCCGGGAGGCGGAGCTTGCAGTGAGCTGAGATGGAGGCAAGGGGTCAGCGATTCACTCCGCAAAACACCATCTCCTGGTAAACCAAAGCCCGCAGCGTTCAGCAAAGGTCCCTTTCATGAACAAATTCCAAGGTAATTCACAACTCACATCAATCTACCACTCACAGATATGTAACACAACCCGCCCACATGGCTGGAACAGATCTCTCATTCAGGGATCTGTTCTTCTTTTTTTTTTTTCTTTTTTTTTTTTTTTTTTGAGACCGCGAGTCTCGCCTCTGGCCGCCCAGGCGAGAGTCAAGTGCCCGGATCTCAGCTCACTGCAAGCCTCCGCCTCCAACGGTTCACCCT